GCATGACGCCGTGCAACAATAACTTTCTAATTGCGTATGCCCTCATGAAGGACAAGAAAGAGGCCAGTTATGATTGGGTTCTCGACAAGTTGAGACTTCTCATAGGCTATAGGGTAAGAATTTATATGAAGTACATGATTAATTTAATTAGTATATAAACGTACTTTGTGATATATGGTAAAAAAAATTTGAGGTTTTTTTTGCGTGTCTCACTAATATTTGACGCTGCTCAGGTGCATCCTAATGCGGTTGTAGTGACAGAGAGTTGGGCTTATTGACTCCTATTAGGAGGCATTTTCTACAATCTGCCCACTTACTCTGCACGTGGCACATCAACAAGGATGTGGAAAACAAAGTGTACAACTTGTTTGGGAAAGATAAAAATTTATCTGAGAGGTTCTTGCGCGGTCGGTGGAAGTCGATTATGGATGCCAGTACGTCAGATGAGTACGACACTGCCGTAGCTCAATTGAATGCAAAATACGGGAATGATTCAAAAGTGGTACAATATCTCGAGGAGACGTGGCTATGCCACAAGGAGAAGTTTGTGAAAGCCTGGACGAACCAAGTAACACATTTTGGCAACACAACTACCTGTAGGGTGGAAAGTGCCCACTCTGTGTTGAAGCAGTGGCTTCGCACGTCGACTGGCGCGCTAGATACAGTGTGGCATAAGATTGATAAGGAGATCGAGTCTTAATTGACTGAAATCAAGTACATTCCTCAAATATATTATATATAAGTATAATATATTATATTATATAAGTATATTATAATTTGTTTTGTAATGTATTAACAGGACAGCACTTGAGTCTTCTAGACTTAGGAAGAGTACGGCATATACGGGATTGACTTTCGCGTGCTTGATATTGAGAGTCTCGCATTACTGTATGAATTTATTGAACGATGAGCTAACAAGGATGCGAGACTTGAGCCATGAAGTTTACTGGCGCTGCGGCTGTGTATTGCTTACCACACATGGAATTCCTTGTGCATGTACGCTTCTACAGCACACGATTCTAAAATGGCGATTAGTATTGACATGATCCACGACTTCTGGAAGACACTAGAGATGTTAGAACCAGGTAATTTGTGGTTAATGTTTATTTATAATTTTCTACTTTGTGATTCATTTTAAATTACACATTAAATTATATTACTTTGAAAAAAAAAAAAAAACAAAAACAAGGTGCAGGCAGGTCACACGACTCGTGTGCCTAGTGACACGGGTCGTGTTATCATCACACGACTCGTGTCACATGGTCACACGAGTCGTGTGACTACTGTGGAGAATGGATCAAAGCCACGGGGTTTTCACACGACTCGTGTGCCCAGTGACACGGGTCGTGTGACACTCACACGACTCGTGTCATCCGGTCACACGAGTCGTGTGCTTACTCAAGATAAATGTTTAAAAACTACGGGGTTTTCACACGACTCGTGTGCCTTGTGACACGAGTCGTGTGAGGTTCACACGACCCGTGTCACATCTTTACACGAGTTGTGTGACTAGTTGTAATATCCCGATATTTTAATCGGTATAAATTACGTTTAATTCCGATATAATAATGTTTATCGTTTATTATTTTCGGAATTAAGTAAGTTCAGTCGGAATTACCGAAATTTATTTTCGACGTATCGTTTACGTTCGAAATAATTTTGGTAATTAAGCATTATGTTTAATTAAATAATTAAACTTACATGGTGATTAATTAATGAGTTAATCACATTATTAACCTAAAAGCCGTGGCTAAACATGGCAATTTTCCTAAATTCTTACCAAGGCCGTGAGTTTTCCCTTAGCCGAGGGAAATGATTTTGTCCAATCAAATTTAGTCACTTGTCACTTAAAGGAGATGCTTAGTCATTTATAGAGTCATAAGGTGTAAGCACATGTCAAATGGGGAAAAGGCCACATCATAGTTACCTCACCATCATCCCCCATCGGCTACATGTATATAAGGAGCCCTTAACCACAATTTTTGTCACTTTTTCCCCTTATGAACTGAGCATCCTCTTCAGCATATAGTAGCCTATTTCAGCAGCAACCATGTCAAGTAATTTTCCCAAATTTCCATTCCAATCACACGGCAATTTAAGGTCATCGCACGGAGTACGCGCGAGGAAGGAGGCACGCCGGATTTTCCGAATTCCGTCGAGTGATCAGTGAGGTAATCCCCCTCCTCAGTTCATGATTATAGTAATTAGGTCAGTTCAGAGTTAAATGTTCGGATGAGTTTCGAGAACTTTGAATAAAATCATGTAAAGGCCGATCGTAATTGAATAAGATTATTACCGAGCAAATTCCGATTTTTCCCGACAACTTCCGAACTATTAATGTTTAATTGTCCAGCTCAGTCTATTTGATGATTAGTAAGATTAGTTCCGTCGAAGGAAAATGAGTTTTTGTTGAAGTCATGGCCCCAGCCGACGCCCGCGCCTATCGCGTGTGGCCTCGGGTGGCTTCGGGCCGAGAGTTGTTACCTTCAGTATTAATCATGTTATCCGTGTGATTAAGTCCTAAAATTGTTCAGATTAATGCTCATGTCATGATGTTCTGGAGTTGTCGGGTAATGAAGTGAATAAATTTCACCCGGCTCCTTGAACTCGAACGGCCTCCGTACCTGCAGAACCCAACACCGGGGGCGGCCCCGGTGTCGGGCCTCCGATGCCTAAGTCAGTCCTCATCAAGAGAGAGAAAGTGTAGTGAAATGAGTAGTGAATGAGA